CTGGAAAAGCAAACATAAGAAAGAGAACATTTGAATGCCAAGTGTCAGACGCATACTGATGATTTAAAACATTTGACTGTAAGGCTCTCTTTGGTTTTGCAAGAAAAAAATTATGAAGGATATTTTTTTAAATATGTTCTTCCCTTTTCAGTGCTCAGTGGCTATCTTTTGGAAGGGCCAGATGAGAAAATACAACAGAAAATAATTAAAACATTTACATACAAGTGAGAAAAAATAAGAAAGGTTAAAACACTGAGATTCAAAAAATTCTCCAATGAATTATGAAAAAAACTATTTACTAGCAGGAATCTGTGAGAGTCAGTGTAACCAGGCATGCTGCTCAGCAGTAGGAGCACAGCTGCCGGCAGTTGAAAGTGATAACCTGCCTGCTCAGTGGGTGACCAGCTGAAAGCAATGAGCATCTGGCCCATAGGAAGTTAAGCTCCAAGGGAGCAGAACTGACGGAAAGAGAGAAGAGGGCAGTGGCAAGAGACGGAGCACCAAGACAAGTCATGGTGTCCTTCGAGAAAGGAACACAGCTGGGAGTTAACCCTCTGCTGATTGTATGGTTGCTTTTTAAGTACAGGATTTGTTATGGACATTTCACAGATTTCATAGATTTTTAGGGTCTGAAGGGACCTCAGCAGATCATTGAGTCCGACACCATGCCCTGGGAAGAATGAGCGCTGGGGTCAGATAACCCCAGCTAGGTGCTTGTCTAGTCTCTTCTTAAAGACCTACAAGGTAGGGAAGAGCACCACCTCCCTTGGAAGCCCATGCCAGATTTTGGCAACCCACTCCGTAAAGAAATTTTTCCTAATGTCCAATCTAAATCTGCTCTCCATCAGTTTATGGCCATTGTTCCTAGTAACCCCAAGGGGCACCCTGGTAAACAGAGTATCCCCTATTCCTTGCTGTCCCCCTCCCCCCACGATAAATTTGTAGATGGCAACAAGATCACCTGTCAGCCTTTTTTTGCGGAGGCTGAAAAGATTCAGGTCTTTCAATCTCTCCTTGTAGGGTCTTGCCTGCAGACCCTTAACCATATGGGTAGTCCTCCTCTGGACACTTTCAAGGCTATCCACATCCCTGTTGAACTGCGGTGTCCAGAACTGGACACAGTACTCAAGCTGCAGTCTTACCAATGCTGCATAAAGGGAAAGAATCACCTATTTAGACCTGCTTATGATGCATCTTCTAATGCAGGCTTGTCCAACATGCAGCCCGCCAAGCCATTTTCTGTGGCCCACAGTGCTGCAACGGGAACCCCTTATCCCTCCCACAGCCCCTCAGCAGCTGCCTAATGGCTGCTGAAGGGCTGAGGAAGGGACAAGGTTCCCACACGCACTGTGTCAGCTTGACATTGCCAACATGGTGCAGCTCCTCCCCCGACATTTCACTGTGTCCCTTCCTCACTTGCATGCCAGCTCCTCCCCTCTCCCACATTGCAGGGTTTCCATTCCTAGCCCTGCCCCTCCCTCCCTCATTTGCATGCCAGCCCCGCCCTGTGCCGGTCCCCACCGGCCATGTGGGCTGTAGCAGGTCACAGTGCAACAGGCAGGCAGACGGACGGAGGGGGTGCGGATGCCGGCATGGAGGGATGCTGCTTCTGGGTCCACAGGAGATGCTACTGCTGCTGTTGCTGTGGTTGTCAGGGCAGGAAGCTGGAGCCACCTTGCCTCCCCGCATACCCCCATGCCCGCAGACATCGCACTAGGGGTGGTGAATCGCAGGCCCAGGGGAGGGAGGGACCCCTATGGCTTGGGCTTGGGCTGCCCTGAGGGAGAGGGAGCAGGGGGGTGTACATCCTGCATCCCCTCTGTAGAGTCTCCGCATGTCCGCCTGGCTGCTGAGCCCAGGTGCGCAGGTGTGGGAGCATCCTCGAGGCTGACCAGGTGGGAGGGAGACAGCGGGGTCCGGCGGCACCCCTTGACCCCTGCGCCCCCAGGCTGCAGCCGGACTGGACAGGCTGCACGAGCACCTGTTCCTGCTGGCCCACTGGGTGATAAAAAGTTCATGATCCAGCACCACATTCAAAAAGGTAGGACACCCCTGTTGTAATGCATGAAAGAGTTGGCTTTACTTATCACTTGGTCACATTGATGACTCATGTTCATTTTGGAGTAAACTACTTTGTTAAACCGCATCCTATTTTGTTCTGCCCACATTCTCAACCTGTCCAAAGCCACCAGAATCCACTCCCTGCCCTCCAGTGCATTTACTTTGCCCTATAATTTGATGTCATCTGCGAATTTGAACAGAAGTGCTTTCCATGCCCTCATCCAAGTCACTGATGAAGAAGTCATTGTTTTCCATGCAGGAGTGAGTTTGTCCCAGAAGAAATAAAGTGAAACCTGCTACACATGGTGGAAAACGCAGGCACTTTAAACTCCAATGCCAACCATAGAGACTGGAACCCTGTTAAAATGGCTGGAAGGGCCACAGCAACAGCACCAGCAGCTGTTTTAGCAGCTATTTCAGCAGCTCCAAACCTAGCACCAGCAGTTCCAGAGAAAGCACCAGCAACAACTACAGGAGTTTCAGTGACAACAACAGCAGCAGGAGTTCCTAAAATAGCAAATGGATGCTAGATAGATCCTTACCTACACTAGTAAGTTACTGGGTTCTCCAAAGGTTATAGGGAGAAGTGCTCACAAAGATGGGACTTGCAGATGATCCAGAAGATTTTTTCTTGCCACATAGGAATGGGTAGTAGAGGCATATCACTGGCTTGAGGACATGTAGACTATGAGGGTCGCCCCCTTATTAACTGGGGAGACACAGGCTGCTCACTGGACCATTGGAGCAGACTCAGCCCAGGATTATAGGACCCTCAAAGCAGCCATACTGGACCAGATAGGACTTATGAAAGAGGCTTATCACTACCAGCTCCGGTCAGAGGACCCAAGAAGGTGTGGCCCCAGACTATGGCTCAGAAATTAAAAGACTTATGCATCTGATGGCTCAATCTGCACTCTTGCTCAGCTACAGAGGTCATGGAACTAATGGCACTGGAACAGTTCTTCACTGTCCTCCCAGTAAAAGCCTGGAGGTGGGTGTATTGCCACTGGTCAACCAACCTGGAGGAAGCCACATGGAGGACAGATTTCATGGGGGGCAAAGTTAGACTGCCAGGAACCCTGAGACAGCCAGAAGCCTACGAGCCTGAGGAAGCCAGGGCTCCATGGCAAATCAGCCACAGGTCTAAGGAGGCTTCCAATAGGGACGTTACCTCTGTCTTGCCCAAGGCCCCAGACAGAAGCAGAGGCTGGGGCATCCCTACATTCCAGGCACAGGAAGGAAGATGCAGATGATGTGCTTCCAATACAGGGAGAAAGGGCATAAAAGATACTGAGACTGCCTCTAGATGGACTGTGGGTATGCCCTTGCCTTGGTCTCAGAGGCAAGACAGAAGAGCCCAGACCCAAGGAGATACGTGGTCCCTGTAAGGATTAGGGATATCCACAAGGCCAGATTCAAAGACACAGGCTCTGGGCCAATGTTTGTACGTGGGCAGTTTTGAGTCTGGAACACATTCCAATAGGCAAATGTGCATGTCACTTGCATTCCTGGGGATACTTGACCATACCCCAACAAGGTTTTTTTGGTCTGGGGTACACCAGGAAATCAAAGACTGTTGTGCATCCAGGCCTGAGTGCCAGCTGGTTGCCCACAGGCCTGCTATAAGGGTCCACTGATACCCGTGTCACTGTTAGACATACTGTTTGAGCAGGTTGGGGTAGACCTGGTGGGAACACTGGAGCCTAGTGCAATGGGATCCAGGTTTATTTTGGTCCTGTTCAATTATGCCACCTGCTACCATGAGGCAGTGGCAATCCACTCTGCACCAGCTCAAACCATGGTGGCAGAGCTGCTCCACATTTTCACCCAGGTGGGCATTCCTAAGGAGTTTTTAATAGGGCTATGGTACAGCCTTCATGTCCTGGTTACTACGGGAGCTCTGGGATTTATTGAAGGTCCATCTGCTAAGAGCTTCAGTGTACCACTCCCAAAATGGGTGGCCTAGTTGAAAGGCTTAACGGAACATTGAAGGGGATGTTGAGGAAATCTGTATCAGAAAAGCTGCAAAACTGGGATCAGTTGCTGCCCTACCCGTTGTTTGCCATACAAGTGTTCATGGTTTTCCATGGGATTTTCACCCTTTGAGTTACTAAACAGACAGCAGCCCTGGGGCATGCTGGACCTTCTGCAAGTGTCCTGGCAGGCCCAGGAGACTGCGACAAAACATTGTTCAGTATGTTTTGAAGCGGTTAGATCTTGTGGGAGTCATCGCCAAACAAAACCTTGAAGCAGCCCAACAGGAGGAGCAGGAACAGCAGTATAATAGAAATTATACTGCTTCATCTGTACCAGCCAGAGGATAAAGTCCTACAATTACTCTCCAGCTCAGAGTAAAGTAGTGGTGCAGTGGCAAGGACCTTTTGAGGTCCTGTGGAGAATAGGGCAGGTAAATTATGCAGTGCACCAGGTGGGGAAATAGTGAGGGTCACTGATGTACCATGTTAAACTGCTAAAACCCTGGAAAGCTTGAAAGGCCTGTCTGGTCACTATGGGTGCATCCAGATGAGCGCTGCTGTGCAGCATGTGGTGCCACAAACACATATGCAGCGCCACATACCACACACTGGGGTGTTCTCTGCACTGCAAGGGAGTGCTGCCCGTGCGTGCACTGCTCCACTTTTCTTTTCTTTTTCCGCACAGGTTTTTTTGACCCCTGGAGAAGAAGGAGAATCCAGGGAACAGCAGACAAGTCAGCCTCACCTCAGTCTCCAAAAAAAAATCATGGAGCAGTCCTCAAGGAATCCATTTCTAAGCACTTCCAGAAGAAAGTGATTGGGAACAGTCAGCATGTATTCAAAAGAGAAGACTGAGGGGGGATTTGATAGCAGCCTTTAACTACCTAGACAGTGGTTATAAAGAGGATGGAGCTAAGCTATTCTCAGTAGTGGCAGATGACAGAACAAAAAGCAATAGTCTCAAGGTGCAGCAAGGGAGGTTTAAGTTGGATATTAGGAAAAACTCTTACTGGGAGGGTAGTGAAGCACTAGAATGGATTACCTAGAGAAGGGGTAGAATCTACATCTTTTGAGGTTTTTAAGGCCCAGCTCAACAAAACCCTAGTTAGGACTGGTCCTGCTTTGAGCAGGGGTTTGGACAAGATGATCTCCTGAGGTCCCTTCCAACCCTAGTTTTCTATGACACTATAACTTGATATTTGAAGTTGCTTGGCAGCTTATATCAAAAGGACAGTGTTTTAAGAGCAGTTTCTTAAAAAAATTCACTAGCTATGACAGATTTTTAATTTCAATTCCATCACTTTAAGATTGAAGCAGCAAGCTTATTTCACAGCAAAAGAATGGTAGAGTCTTTCTCCTAGTTTTATTTCTTCCATTTCCCAACGCATTGTTAGGTTGGTCACAATCCTTTATGGTCACTGAGTTGATTAGTTTAGACAGTTCATGTTAGTGACTTTACTCAGTGGTTCCAAAGTCTGTATAAAAGGCTTTTAAAAAACTCCCAGCAAATGCTGGTGCCATGATTTGTTCATAATTGATGTTAATATGCAATGCGTTTTGGGGGGGGGGGGGGCTTATAAAAAAAAAAAAAAAAAAAAAAAAA